CCAGACTTCTCTGGGCTTAGTCTCATTAACCTCATCATAAAGGTCACCCCTCTCTGAGCATAAGACTGAGGCACTGTTAGAAGCCCTTTCTAGGGGCTCAGATAAACTGCATGGTCAGAGACTGGAGCAGCATTGATTTGCAGAGAAGCTATGGTCAGCAGTGGGAGCAGGAAACAGGCCAAGGGGCTGAGAGCCAGAAATGTCAGGGCTTTTGCCTAGGGTCCATTCATCATTCAACCCCTTGTACTCTTGATTGTGGGAGAGTTCTAGGTAACAAAGGCACATTCCTTCTAATTTTGTTCTAAGTTTTGTCCTAATTGTTCATGTCACTTTGGTTATTCTTATAGCTTTGTTCTAATTTGTTATGTCAAGTTGGTTATTCTTATAGCTGGTTTCTACATAGAAATTTTAGAATCATTTGTCCAGTAATATCTTTTAAAAAATCATGTTAAGAGCAAGACAGCATTGGAGCACCTTGGCTTAGTCAGTTAAGTGTCTGACTCTTGGTTTTAGCTCAGGTCATGATCTCAGGGTCATGAGATCAAGCCCTGTGTCAAGCTCTATGCTCAGCAGGGAGTCCTCCCTCTCCCCTTTTCCCCTCCCGCTGCTTGCACTCTCTCTCTCTCTCACTAGCTCACTTTAAAATAAATAAATAAGTAAAATATACGAAAAAGGAATAAGAGAGCATTGAGTATAATTATGGTGTTACACAATAAGAATCTTTTTGTTAAAACTTCTCATCCATGAATATGGTATAGCTCTCCATTTACTTAGTTCTTTTATATATTTGAATAACATCAAAAGTCATATTTCTAAATATATTATATGTCACTTGTTATATTTATTCATATATACTGAAGAGTTTATACTATGATTTTTTTTTCATTATGTTGGTCATCATACAGTACGTCATTAGTTTTGATGTAGTGTTCCATGATTCATTGTTTTCATATAATACCCAGTGATTTTACTTTTTAAACATTCAATAATATGTTATAAAATAGCACAAGAATAGACAAATAGCCCAATGGGACAGAATAAGACTCTGAAGCACACCAACATATATAGGGACTCTTGGTTTATGACAAAGGTGACACTACATAGCAGTGGGGGGAAACATACTTTTTTAAAAAGCCAGTAGGACAACATGTGTTGGAGGGGATGTGGAGAAAGGGGAACCCTCTTACACTGTTGGTGGGAATGCAAGTTGGTGCAGCCACTTTGGAGAACAGTGTGGAGATTCCTCAAGAAATTAAAAATAGAGCTTCCCTATGACCCTGCAATTGCACTACTGGGTATTTACCCCAAAGATACAGATGTAGTGAAAAGAAGGGCCATCTGTACCCCAATGTTTATAGCAGCAATGGCCACGGTCGCCAAACTGGAAAGAACCAAGATGCCTTTCAACAGACGAATGGATAAGGAAGATGTGGTCCATATACACTATGGAGTATTATGCTTCCATCAGAAAGGATGAATATCCAACTTTTGTAGCAACATGGACGGGACTGGAAGAGATTATGCTGAGTGAAATAAGTCAAGCAGAGAGAGTCAATTATCACATGGTTTCACTTATTTGTGGAGCCTAACAAATAGCATGGAGGACAAGGGGAGTTAGAGAGAAGGGAGTTGAGGGAAATTGGAAGGGGAGGTGAACCATGAGAGACTATGGACTCTGAAAAACAATCTGAGGGGTTTGAAGTGGCGGGAGGTGGGAGGTTGGGGGATCCAGGTGGTGGGTATTGGAAAGGGCAGGGATTGCATGGAGCACTGGGTGTGGTGCAAAAACAAGGAATACTGTTATGCTGAAAAAAAATTAAATTAAAAAAAAAAATAAAAGCCAGTAGGATAACCATATGGGAAAAAAATGAAACAACCCCTATACCACAAAAAAGTTAGTTCCATGTGAATTATAGATACTAATATAAAAGACTGAGGAAGAAAAGTTCTACTAGATAACATAGAGAAATATCTTTTTGTTCCACGTATGAGTGAAACTATATGATAATTGTTTTTCTCTGCTTGACTTATTTCACTCAGCATAATCTCCTCCAGTCCCATCCATGTTGATGCAAAAGTTGGGTATTCATCCTTTCTGATGGCTGAGTAATAGTAATATTCCATTGTATATATGGACCACATCTTCTTTATCCATTAGTCTGTTGAAGGGCAACTTGGCTCCTTCCAGTTTGACTATTGTGGACATCGCTGCTATGAGCATTGGGGTGCCTGTGGCCCTTCTTTTCACTACATCTATATGTTTAGGGTAAATACCCAGCAGTGCAATTTCTGGGTCATAAGGTAGCTCTATTTTTAACTTCTGGAGGAACCTCCATACTGTATTCCAGAGTGGCTGTACCAGCCTGCATTCCCAGAAACAGTGCAAGAGGGTTCCCCTTTCTCTGCACCCTTGCTGACATTTGTTTTTCCCTGTCTTGTTAATTTTAGACATTCTGACTGGTATAAGGTGGTAATCTCAATGTGGTTTTGAATTTGTGACTATGTCATAAAAAATTAATGATGTACTGTACGGTGGCTAACTTAAAATAATTTAAATAATATCTTTTTGGATTTAATGTGAACAGTGGTTCTTAAACATGTTGCAGAATGAAGTAACCGTGAAGGAAATGACTGATAAACTAACTTTACTAAGTAAATTTAAGAACTTCTGTCAATAGGAAAAATTTTTAAAAATCAATACAAGGGGTACCTGGGTGGCTCAGTGGGATAGCCTCTGCCTTCAGCTCAGGTCATGATCTCAGGGTACTGGGATTGAGCCCTGCATTGGGCTCTCTGCTCATCAGGGATCCTGCTCCCCCCAACCCTGACCTGCCTACTTGTGATCTCCCTCTCTCTCTTTGTCAAATAAATAAATAAAATCTTTTTAAAAAAATCAATACAAGTGCAAATGTGGAATCCAGAAAGGAGAAGATATTTGCAAATGATATAACTGGTGAAGGACTGATATCAAGAATATAGACAAAATTTCTACAGTCAGTATGAAAAAGAAAAACAATAGAATAGAAAAACTGAGAAAAGCATATATACATCCCCAAGAGGACATCCAAATTGCTGCCAAATATATGAAAATCTGGTCCCATTGGCCATTGGAGAAATGAAAATGAAAACCACAATGATATGTGGCTATATGCCCACCAGAATGACTAAAATTGATGAGACAGACAATATGGCTTGTTTGTGATGATGTGCAGCAGCAGGAACTCTTGGACACTATTTTTGGGAACAAAGATTGCTGTAACATTTTTGGAAAACTTGAATTATCCAAAAATATGAGCAATTCCACTCCTAAGAATGCCCAAAGGAATCAATTCACAGCAAAAAATTAAAAATTAAAAATTAAAAAAACCTGTAAAAGTATTTCATAACAGCATTATTTTAAATAGACTGGAAACAGGGTGCCTGGGTGGCTCAGTGGGTTAAAGCCTCTGCCTTCGGCTCAGGTCATGATTTCAGGGTCCTGGGATCAAGCCCCACATCAGGCTCTCTGCTCAGCAGGGAGTCTGCTTCCTCCTCTCTCTCTCTCTCTCTCTGTCTGCGTCTCTGCTTACTTGTGATCTCTGTCAAATAAATAAATAAATAAATAATCTTTAAAATAAAAAAAAAGACTATGGACTCTGAAAAACAACCTGAGGGTTTTGAAGGGGCGGGGGGTGGGAGGTTGGGGGAGCCAGGTGGTGGGTATTATGGAGGGCATGTATTGCATGGAGCACTGGGTGTGGTACAAAAACAATGAATTCTGTTATGCTGAAAAGAATTTTTAAAAAAATGGAAACAACCCAAGTGTTCATCAACAGTAAGATGGACAAATTATGGTATCTTCATTTAAGGAAATTTATATAGCAATGAAAATTAAAGAACTACTACTACACATAATCACAAGGATTAATTTCACAAAGAGAATATTACCCCAAAAAAAGTACAAAAGAAGAAAATTGTGTTCTTCTATTCATAGGAAGTTCACAGCAGACAAAACTAATCTGCGTTTTAGAGGGAGGATAGGTGTTAACCTTGCAGGGCGATGACTATAAGGAGGCAGGGGTATTGTGAAAACTGAGTAGGTTTCTTTCTACCTGGCTAGTGGTGATCTCCCTGAGTAGATATGGTTTGATATTTTTTCTGTAGATGCATAAAAACTGTATCTGTTTATACTTCATGTCTACCATTCTGTGACTAGGAAGGTGGATGTCACAGCTGGAGCTCTGGGTCATCTTTTCTATTAAGAGTGTCTTCCATGCCCTTGGTGTCATGAAGCAGAGCCCAAGGGAGCTCCTTCCCCTGAATGAAACCAACTCATTTGCCTCAAACCACCAACCTGGCTCTTCTGTGAGAGAGGCCCTATTGTCAGACCTGAACCACTCCAGCCAAGCCTATTCCACCATGGGGAATGCCTTGACCATGCATTACATTATTATTTTAAACATATCTCTCTGGAAGTGGTATTTTAAGGATGACAGCCTATTTATGAGAGGCAAATGCTCATGTCTGGCCAACAGGAGACAGCAAGGCCCTGCATCTAAAGTACAGGAGGGTAAAGGTACAATGTTTAAAACATTATTTTCTTACAAGTTAGATCAAGATGCACAAACATCTGACCTCTTTCCCACTAAATCTGGACAGCCCAGGGAACCATGATAAGTAATGGGCAGAAGACCCACCCCTGCCTTGATGCCCAGTGATTGCTCTGCCCAGTCTTCATGTGATTCAAGTCATTCTTCCTTCTCTGAGCACTTACTGGGTGAAGAAAATCCTTATTTTTCTCCTTATATTTTCTCCTTTCATCCTTATTTTCTCACTTAATAAACATCTTGTCCATTAAATTCTTTCAAGCAACATTGATTGAAAGAGTAAATGAATGAGTTTCTTAACATATCCAATTCCATTTGGAAGTGGAAATGGTTTTAGGGGCTCCTCACAGTTCAGTGTCTCTCTGAGACCTCCATCCAGCCTGCAGGGCACAGTCTTTCCCTCCAGTACATTCTTCACATGGCTGTGTGTTTCTGGCCCAGCCTCCATAGGGCCTCCTTCACATCCTTATTTCGCAGACTATAGATGAGGGGATTGAGCATTGGGATGACCAGCGTGTAGAAGACAGAGACCACCTTGCCCTGCTCCATGGACTCAATTGCTCCTGGCTGGGCATACATGACAAAGACAGTCCCAACAAAGAGTGTCACTGAAGCCATGTGGGAGCCACAGGTGGAGAAGACCTTGCGTCTCCCAGCTCCTGAGCGCATCCGCAGGATGGTCACCATGATGTAGCCATAGGAGACGAGGACCACAGATGTCACACCCACAATGATGAGCCCACAGATGCCAAACAAGATAAGTTCATTAATGGCTGTGTTGCCACAGGCGAGCTGGAGCAGTGGGGGAACATCGCAGAAGAAGTGGTTGATGCGGTTGGAGCTGCAGAATGGGAGGCGGAATGTGAAGCTGGTCTGCACAACAGAGTTGAGGCAGCCTCCACAGTAGGTGCCCAGAACCAGGCGAGTGCAGGCAGAGTGGCACATGGTGATAGGGTAGTGCAAGGGGCTGCAGATGGCCATGAAGCGGTCATAGGCCATGACACCCAGGAGGAAACCTTCAGTGGTGACCAGTAGGGAGAAAAAGAATAACTGGGTAGCACAGCCTACAAAGGTGATAACCTTGGATGGGGAGAAGAAGTTGACCAGGGCATTGGGGGCAATAACAGATGAGTAGCACAAATCCAGGAAGGAGAGGTTCTTGAGGAAGAAGTACATTGGGGAGTGCAGGTGGGCATCCAGGGTGATAACCATGATCATGGTGAGGTTCCCCAGCATAGTCACCATGTACAGGGCCAGGAACACAGCAAAGAGCAGGGCCTGGGTCTCCAGGCCTCCCTTGAATCCCTCCAGCACAAAATCTTGAAAGTAAACCATGGAGAGGTTTCCATTTCTGGGGAGTGGCATGAACCTCAGTCCTCACCAGGGGAATTATAGTTCCAGTATTGGCAGATGAAGTAGGTCAAGCTAAACTTCCTGCTGAAGACTCTTAAGAAAAGATAACTGACAACAAAAAAAATCTGATCGAGGGTATAAGAGAATTAATGATTTAGTAAAGAATTATGAAACAAAATCCAAGATAAACACAGAGGTCTAGGGATTTCATTACTGAGAATTTATTTTTCTCTTGAGACATAAGGCAGTTTTGAAAATGAAGTCTGAGAGGCCAGGTATCTAAACAGTGAGGTTTTTCCTGTCTTGAAGAGTTAATGCTGACAGTGGTTGGTTACTAGGGACCACCCAGGTTGCCCCATAGGAGTGAATTAAATAAGGAGTAGGTAGGCAGCTCAGCTTCTGACTGTTTCAATCACTGAAATTGTATCAAGTATTATATGGTTTCACTTACTTGTGGAGCATAAGGAATAACACGGAGGACATTGGGAGATGGAGAGGAGAAGTGAGTTGGGGGAAACTGGAGGGGGAGACAAACCGTGAGAGACTGTGGACTCTGAGAAACAAACTGAGGGTTTTGGAGGGGAGGGGGGTGGGGGGTTGGGTGAGCCTGGTGGTGGGTATTATGGAGGGCACATATTGCATGGAGCACTTGGTGTGGTGCATAAACAATGAATGTTGGAACACTGAAAAGAAATAAAATAAAATGGAAAAAAAAGAGGTGATCTGAATGCTGGTGTCTCTGACACCTTGCAAAAATAAACACATCTCAAGAAGACACATTATCCTAGCCCTCAGTGTTATCCATAGAAGTTTTGTGTATATACTGCCAAACATACAATTCAAAAATTGAGGAGTTCCTGCAATATGAATTAAAATATCAGAAACAATAGAAAAACGCAAAGAGGTTTCAGATTTTGGGGTTAACATACATACAACCAATGAATCATTGAACATTATATCAAAAACTAGTAATGTGGTATATGTTGACTATTTGATTTTAAATTAAAAGAAAAAGAAAGTTATTATGTTTAAAGGCTAAGAATTTTAACAGGATTGTGGAAGTAATAAAGAGAATAGTAGGTAACTTTTTTAAAAGTACAATGACTAAAATTAGGAACTCAGTGAATGGATTTTTCAGATTAGAAATTGCTAAGGAGAAAATTTGTAAACTAGAATACAGATCAGTAGGAAATATTCAGAATGAAGCATTAAGAGAAAAAGGGTTGAGAGCTACCCTATAACCTGGCAATTGCACTACTGGATATTTACACCAAAGATACAGATGTAGCAAAAAGAAATGCCATATGCACCCCAGTATTCATAGCAGCAATGTCCACCATAGCCAGACTGTGGAAAGAGCAGAGATGCCCTTCAACAGATGAATGGATAAAGAAGATGTGGTCCATATATACAATGGAATATTACTCAGCTATCAGAAATGATGAATACCCAACATTTGCATCAACATGGATGGGACTGGAGGAGATTATGCTGAGTGAAATAAGTCAAGCAAAGAAAGCCAATTATCATATGGTTTCACTCAAAAGTGGCACATAAGGAATAGGAGAAGGAAGGGGAAAATGAAGGGGTGGAAATCAGAGGGGGAGATGAACCATGAGAGACTGTGGACTCCATGAAACAAACTGAGGGTTTTAGAGGGGATGGGGTTAGAGGGATGGGCTAGCCCAGTGATGAGTATTAAGGAGGGCATGTATTGCGTGGAGCATTGGGTGTTATATGTAAACAATGAATCTTGGAACACTACATAAAAAACTAATGATGTACTGTATGGTGGCTAACATTACAAATAATAATAAAAATAGAAAAAGGATTGAAGAATCAGAAACAAAGGTTAGAGACTGAAGATATAGAGACATACATAGTATGAGTTCCTAAAAAGGGAGGAAAGAGAGAAATAGGCTGAATCAGAACTTGAAGAGATAATGACCAAATATTATCTCAAACCGATGATTCATTAACCCTACAAAATCAAAGCAGGATTTATACAAAGAACACCACACTTAGACATATCATACTAAAAGTATTTAGAATGAAAATAAAGAAAAAAATGTTAAAAGCAGCCTGAGAAGGAAGACATAGTCACTCCAGGGGCACCTGGGTGGCACAGTCAGTCAGGCCTCTGACTCTTGGTTTTGGCTCAGGTTATTATCTCAGGGTTGTGAGATTGGGCCCCATGGGAGTACACACTCAGTGTGGAGTATGCTTGAGACTCTTTCTCCCTCTCCCTCTCCCACTGCCCCTTCCCCTAAAATCAATCAATCAATCTTTTTTTTTTAAAGGAGACATAGTCACTTCAAAGTATTAACTTTAGAAGTAAGACTGACAGTTGGCTTACAGATTAAAAACAATGGAAGCCAAAGGAAAAGGATTACATTTTCCTTTGTTCAAAGAAAACAATTACCACTAGAATTCTATATCTACCCAAAATATCCTTCAAGACTCAAAGTGAATTTAGCAATAATGGTTTAAGACTTCAATACTCCACTTTCAATAATGAATAGAACAACAAAACTAAATATCAGCAAGGAAATAATGGATTTGGACAACATTAAAAACCAAATAGACCTCACAAGCATATGTAGAACAAACTATATCCAACAAGAGCAGAATACATTCTTCTCTGGTGCACATGGCACATTACCCTGGATAGACCATATGTTAGTTCACAAAGCAAGTCTCAATAAATTTTAAAAGATTTAAATTATACTATGCTCTCCAAACAAAATGAAATGAAATCATAAATCAATAACATAAAGCAATTTGGAAAACTTACAAATATGTGGAAGCTAAACAACACATTTTTAAATCACCAGTGGGTAAAAGAAGGAATCACAATGGAAATTATAAAGTATTTTGAGATTAATGAAAATGGGACACAACATACCAAAACTTAGGGGATGCAATGAAAGAAGGACACAGAAATTTATAGCTATAAACACCAACATTGAAAAAAGATCTCAAATCAATAATTTAACTTTCCATCTTGGAAAAGAAAGGAAAAGAACACAAAACTAATCTCAAAGCAAATAGAAGGAATGAAATAATAAAGATTAGAGAAGAGTAAAATAATACAGAAAATCAATGACACTAAAACTTGGTTCTTTGAAGAGTTTAACAAACTTGACAAACCTTTAGCTAGATTGAAAAAAAAAAGTCAGAAGACTTGAATTTCTAAAATCAGGAAAGAAAGCAGAGAATGACTTCTGACCTTACAGAAATAAAAAGTATTATAAGAACATATTAGAACAATTATATGCCAACACATCAGCTAACCTAAGAGAAATGAACAAATTCCTGGAAACACACAAACTAATATAACTGACTCAAGGAGAAATAGAAAATCTGAGCAGATGTATAACAAACAGATTGAGTCAGTAGTCAAAAAACTTTTCCAACAAAGAAAAGCTCAGGACCAGATGGTTTCACTCGTGGCCTTTAACAAATTTTTCAAAAATAAACACTGGATGTGGTACATAAACAATGAGTCTTGGAACACTGAAAATATAAAATAAAATATAAAAATTAACACCAGTACATCTCAAACTCTAAAAAAATAGAATAGGAGAAAACTCTTCCTAATTCATTTCATAAAGTCTGTACTGTTTTAACACTAAATTGAGATAAAGATATTGCAAGAAAATGAAGCTATCGATCAGTATCTCTTACAAATATAGATACATAAATCTTTAACAAAATAGTAGCAAGCTAAATCCAGAAGACCTTTAAATGGATTATACAGCATAGCCAAGTGAGAATTATCCCATGAATGCAAGAGTGGTTCAATATACAAAAATCATTCAATAAAATACACCATACAAATGGAATTAAGGGGACAAAAACACATGATAATCTCAGTAGATACAGAAAAACTACAAAACACTGCTGAAAGAAATGAAAGAAGACCCACATAAATGTAAAGTTATCCCATTTTCATGGACTGGAAGACTTAATATTGTCAAGATGCAGTACTCCCCAAATTTACATACAGATTCAATGCAATCCTATAAAATTTCTAATTGCCTTTCTTTTTGGCAAAAATTGATCCTAAATAGCACAAAAAAAATTAAAAATAATTAGGAGGACTAACACTTCCTGACTTCAAAACTTACTAAGAAGCAGAACAGTGTTGTGCTAGTGCAAGGACAGACATAGACCAATGGAATAGAACCAAGAATCTAGAATAAAATCACACATCTGCAGTTTTCAACAAGGGGACCAAGGGCACCATTCAATAGTGAAAAAATAGTCTTCAGTGATTGGAAAACTGAATATCCATATGCATGCAAAAGAATACATTAAGAACTTTTACACCACAAACAAAAATTAACTCAAAATGGACAAAGACCTAAATGCAAGTGCAAAAACTATAAAAATATTAGAGTAGAAAGAGCCATCAGTGTAAATTATTGTGACTTGGGATTAGTCAGCAGTTTCTTATATGATATCAAAGAACAAACAATGAAGTAGAAAAACTAAAAATAAAATAAATAGACAAATTGAACTTTATTCTAATTAAAATCTTCTGCATCAAAGGACACTATCAAGAAGATGAAAACAAAACCCATATTATGGGAGAAAATATTGACAAATTTTATATCTAATAAGGATCTAGTATCCATGAAATATACAGAACACTTTCAACTCAGCGAGAAAAAGACAAACAGTCAAATTTTCAAATGGGCAAAGGACTTGCATGGACATTTCTCTAAAGAAAATATACAACTGGCCAATAAGTATAAGGGAAGATGTTCAATGTCATTAGCCATTAGGAAAATGTGGATCAAAACCACTATGAGATGCCACTTTACTCTTTAGAATGGCTACATTTTTTAAAAAAAGATAGAGAATAATAAGTGTTGGTGAGAATTTGAGAAAATTAGAACTCACATACACTGCTGGTACAAATAAACAAGTGGTGTAGCCTCTGTAGAAAATAGTCTTGCCATTCCTCAAAAAGTTAGATGTAGAATTCCCATATAACCCACCATAAG